GCCATGGCGGCCGTGCGGGGCCTGCGGATCTCGGTGAAGGCGGAGGCAGCGGCCGCAACGGCTGAGCTTCGCGGCCCAGAGCCTGAACCTATGGAAGTGGAAGAGGGAGAACTGGAGACCATCCCCGTGAGGCGCTCGCTCCGGGAGCTCATTCCGGTGAGGGGCGTGCGGGGGGGACGAAAGAGGGACCAGGTCCTGAGGGGGGGCAGAGTACGTAGGGGTGGAGGGTGGCGGGGTGGGGGTCTGTGGGCATCTGTAAAGGCATTTGGGGTACATTCGTGGGAAGAGGTGCGACATGGGGTGGGAGGCGCAAGAGGGGAAGTGAGGGAAGTGAGTGTGGTGGGGAGTGGGGCCATGAGGGGACTTAGAGGTGCCTGAGGGGAGTTTGGGTCAAACTGTAAGAGGAAGAGTCCAGGACGGGCTTGGGAGCGAAGAGAATAAAGGAGATGGTGGGGTGGTGGAAAAGAGGATTTGGGGTGTAGTGGTGGACTGTAGCGAAAGGCTGTGGGTAGGAGAATGTAAAAGGAGTGCTTGGTGCAGGGAACATGCAGAGTAGGGAGCAGAGGGGGTGACCGTGGTAGAACTGAGTTGGAGACATTGGAACATGGGCTCTGATGAATGGGTTTTGAGGGTTTCCTTTCAATTTTTTTATTTCTTAAGTATTCTCGTACAAGTTTTATTAGCATTAGGTTTATATATAAAAATGGGTCAGAGTTCTTCTAACCTCCTAAACAGTCTTCTGCTCTCAAAACCTGTGTGGAAATTACTTCAGAAACTAATCTCTAATTAGCTGATTTACCAACATGCTTGAGCTTCTACCAAATACATGGCCTAGGAGACAGCACCCAGCTGTACTTCCTTGTGCTCCATGAGTCAACCTTATACAGTGGGGGTCTTTAACTTTAAAAATGCTTTTTTTTGCTTTTGTTTTTCTTTTTAATAACTAACCATTTGGCAGCTTCAGAGAAACTTTGACACTGGTACTGAGAAAAGCAGTTAGATTGTGTGTACTTTGGTATTTTTAAACTGAGACTGGCCTACTTTCTAGAAAAAGTCCTTCAGCCAAAATAATTATTGCAGCACAAGTGTAAACAATGTGTTTATCCCTAGAGAAAACAAGATGTGTTCTTGCAGCTCCAGAGTTTTGCCAGGTGATGGTCCCGAGGGTGCCAGAATGAAGAGGAGCCTTTTTTTGCATATGGGAACTGTGGAAGAGACAGAATTGGGTCATTGGTCCAGGGTCTGTGTGGTTTAGTGCAGTCTTGTGAATTCATCAGTCCTGACTGATGGAAATGAAACTTGTAAATATTTTTCCACATCATTTTTACTATTTTTCAGTAGGGTCGTATCAAAACAGTAATGCTTTATATGCTGGTATTTGGAAGTTGGGTTTGAAATATTGATAGGACTAGGGGTAAAAGTTACTTGTTTAATGTGGATATGGCATGGTGTTCTGACTTTTAAGACTAAAAGTTACAAATTGACACTTCAGGAATCGTGTATAACTGTTAAATCTGTTCATGTTTTACAGGGAAGTTATTCCCAAAACCTAATTTTGGAAATATTAGTTAGGAAAGGTGTTTGATGACTTTTTCATTCTCAATACGCTGAGAGAGAGTAAGTGAAAACCATAGCAGTGGCAGACCCAGAAACTAAATTTTGTCAAAGGAAAGAATCCTTATAGTAAAGGAAGTTTTATTCAGTTCATATGCTTTTACTGACATCAGTGAGAGTTATTGCTTGTGTACCTGTCTGTCAAGGGATGTAGCTTGGAGTAAGGATGCATATCTTGTAAAAATGGGCAGATTTTTTTTTTTCAGCATAGCAAGTATGTTGCTTTCAGTGTTCACTGAGATTTCACCACCATTTTGCTTTGTTTCAGGACACCAGTAGGAGATACGAAAACAAAGCTGGGAGTTTCATTACTGGAATAGATGTAACCTCCAAGGTAATTTTTGTACTATGTTTTTTCAACATATTCTAATTATTGCTACTGGAAAGGAGGAACCATTTAATTTATTTCTTCCCAACATGCACAAAAGCTTAGCCTCATATTCAGATAGCTGGTGTTTTTCAACAACAAGGGAGTTCTCCTTTTGTTGGTTCTGGCCTGCATCAGGACCCAGTATCTTGTAAAGTGTGAGAATTAGCATTTTTAAGTTACAAAAGTTTGTGTGCCAAAACCTGAAAATGTTTCTGTTGCCTTGGTGCCACTCAGCATTGCAAAACAAAGCCCTTTCAGACTGGTCAGCTGCGGGTTTCCCTCTTAGGTGAGTGACAGAAGGAAGAACAAGTGATTGGCAGGAACATCTAGTTTCATTGCCTTGTATCTTCCAAGGGCATCTTACTGTTTCGTTGTTTAAAACGTAGTTTGAAGAATGTGAACAGCTGCTGCATTTAAATAACTTAGTTACATAATTCTGTGGAACTTCTTTAATCCTGCAACTCATCTCTGTATATTTAACACCAAATTGGCTGTTGTTTCTTATTGTACAGTTGACCACTATATCTAGTATTTGGTAGTGGAGAAAAAGCATTTAGTCTTATACTTCATAGGACCGATACAATTTTACATGTTCTAACAAGTATGAATCCCCACCACAACAGTGTGCTGACAAACCCCATTTTTCATTAGTGAAGTTTAGAAGATTGTGCTTATTAAACGCTACAAAAGGGTTCCAGATGAAGACTGAAAATCAGTTTTTTGGCTTCAGTAACTAGCTTGTGGGTTTTGTCTTTGGGTAAAGAATTTTAAGTTCTCCTGGTCAGGGGAAAGCTGTCATCTTTTGCTATGTTCTTTAATGATACAACTCTGAAAAAATTTAAGAAACGTGGCTAGAGATGTTTTGGCAATCTTTAAAAACTAGTAAAAAGCCCATGTTTATTTGGATATCATTGTTGGCAGTTTTTGCTTAATCATAGTTTGTGTTCCAAATTTGACTTCCATTAGTAAGGTACAAAAATCTATAATACTTCCTAATAAACTCTGTAGAATAAGAAGCTTCTCAGTTTCAAAAATTGTATGAGGTCCACATAAGCTGTTGCTCATGAGATACTTAAAAGTAGCATGAATTGCCAGTCTAAATGAGATCTTTATAGTCAGCACTCCAGCTAGTGCTGTTAAATTCATGCTCAGAAAGGCAAGTTTACACTTTTGTATATATTTAAGAACCACATAGGGAAAAATCTCTATAATCTTAAAAGACAAATTTTCCATGTGGTGGAAATGCTTGTTTTAAGAGAGGGTTGGCTTTTTTTTTTTTTAACAACAACCTCTGTACATTTGTTAGGAAGGAAAAGATGATGTTACTGATCCATCATGGAGTCTGAGCATTGTCTGAGATACCTTATTTTCCATGCATCTTAATTCCTGTTATGTTGCTGAACCTACATTAAAACCATTATGTGTCACATAAATGTTTTAGTGAATTATTTCTACATTCTGAAACTTAGTGGTCTCTTCAGAATTAATAGAATTATTAATATAGATTGTTGTTGTCTGGTAGATTTTTAATTTAAATATCTGGCCTTTTGGTGCAACTAGTTGGGAATGCTGCTGTGATTCCTATTTTCATTGCATTGTTTTGCATTTTGCAGGAAGCAATTGAGAAAAAGGAACAAAGAGCCAAGCGCTTTCATTTTCGAGCTGAAGTGAATCTTGCCCAGAGGAATGTGGCGCTGGATCGGGACATGATGAAGAAAGGTATGAGTTTATCCAGCAGTCAGGAAAAACGATCCCTCTGTTTACTTCCGCACAGTTCCTTTACTTGATCTATCCTGTCATACTTCCTGTATCCCCAGAGGTTTTCCTAGGTCATTGCCAAAAGAAATCAGTTTGTGGGGTTTTTTCATCTTTTTATTTTAATTATTTTAACTTTTTTAACTACTTGACAGTTATCATTTTGCTCTTGCTTTACAACCCCAGAAAAAAAATTACATCTTTTGTGTACCTTATTTACTGTTTGGCAATGGCACCTAGTGCTGCATGTCCAGGATTCATTTTCTGGATCAATGCTGCTTTAAGAATGTTTAAATCTTTCGAAAGGACCAGACCTTGAGCACTGTTTGTGTTTGAGTGGAGGACTGTGGCCCATGCCCAGTGAGATCCCATTCTGTGCTGTATGCACAGTGAGGCTGGACTGATTGCACATGTGCTCTTTGATGGCAAGCTGTGCATGTTGGAATATAAGCAGATTAACGGCATGTGCTTTTGGCATCCAGTTAGTTCTCAAGGCTTTTTTTCCAACTGGCAGCTTGGACCCACTAAGCCACAGCCTTTAACAGCTCTCCATCAGATGGTACAAGTGGAAGTGCTTTGTAAATGTGTCCTGGTCACAGGCCTCATTAGTGTTCTAACTCTTTAGTGCTTAATGGTAGTACTTTGACAGTATTTAAAAAGAAATTTTTAAGGCAGTTTGATTGCATCTACCAGTGGTTGTAATGTTACCTCTTTATAATTCTCAATTTATTAAAAGTTTTTCACTGTGGAATAATAATCCAAGTTATGGTGTCTTAGAATGGTGTGCATCATACATTGCTTTAATTAGCTTCTCTTTAGCTTATTTAAAATGTTTGATTTGTAAACTCATATGCTACTAATACAAAAGCTTGGTCTATAGGAATAAGTAACAGTTTTATATCTCTTCCTCTTCACAGCAATTCCTAAAGTGAGACTGGACACAATTTACATTTGTGGAGTGGATGAGATGAGTACACAGGACATCTTTGCCTATTTCAAAGAGTATCCTCCTGCTCATATTGAGTGGTTGGATGATACATCATGTAAGTAAATGAAGTCTTTTGTCTAATTCTTACTCTCTTTTTTAATATTGGTCCTAGCTATACTCAACACATCTTAGTGGCTTTCAGAGTCACTGATCTTTTTTCTCACTTTCCCTGTCATATGCTTTAGTCAAAAGAGATTTAGAAGGAAGAAATAGCGTATGTTAAAAATCAAACCCACTATCTGGTTGAGTGTTATTGGAAAGAGATAGCATAGAATAACTTGTGGAAACGAAAAAGGTCTAAAATTTTGTGCTGCTTACATCTTGACATAAATAGTATACCTGATTGTAAGTGTTGCAAAAGATGACATTCTGGAAGAAGATTATTGAGCTGTGTGCAGTTAGGCAGGTTGGTTTTGTGTTACGAAGGAGCAGACTTGTTGGCGTATTTGTTCAGTGCATTCTCAAGGAGAAATTAGTGGGTGGAAGAAGGTAGCAGCTGAATGTGATTTACATAGATCGGAAAAGGAATGTAAATTAATGTTGCAAGGACTGTTTTCGGAAATAAACACGCTGTGAGATTGCCAGAAACATAAAAGGTTGTTGACAGTCATGCTTTCTTCAGCGATGTTAAGGATCGTACAAGAGCTGTTTGCTACAGTTGAGTGCTGGGTCATGGAACTGGAAGGCTCTGAGGTCATGTGACTAGAAACCCTGTAACTGAAATAACATAAAAAGAAGTAGGAACCAGTGCAGGTTTTCCACTTGGACTGAAATTGCTGGAAACTGTTTTATTGACAAGTATGGCTAAGACCTGAGAATTAGTAACATTGTTCCCTGCAATGACCCCGGAGGAATTATGTTCCAGTGCAAGAAACAAGATATGGCATACTACAAAATATTGGTAACCTTGAAGTCACTGTGTATGACAGTTTGATATACTGCCACAAGGTGACAGAAAATTTGAAATTCATTGAGCCCCGAGTGGACGATTGCGGGGAAGATCTGCTAGATGAACCTGTGGTGATGCATAAGCTAGCTACGTGCAGAGTTTAACTCTGTATCTGAGGCTGCATTTCTAAGGTTGTCTGATTGTCCTTTTTCTTAAATGTTCCATGCGTAAATTTAGCATGGAACCAGAGTGAACTTGCAGTGCAAAAATGCAGGCTTCAGAGTCATAACAATACTTTACCCATTAAAACACACCTTTTTTAGTGATTTCTTTTCATGCTGAGTGGCATGCCAGCTACACTTGCTGAAAATATTAAGAAAAAGCATTGTCTTTTCAACATAGAGTTGCATCACAGCATGGCAAAAATGTTAACATTCCCAAATGAATTACATCTCAAGGTGTCTTAGTGCAAAGGTGAATTTAGACAGTGTTCTGTGTTTCAAACTGCTGAACATGAAATGATAAAGGCTTTGAAAATTTGGAGGTGTAAAGAGCAGGTAGGCATATATAAATGAAAAGTTATTAGCCAACCACTGAAGTTAGTATCTGGGTGTTACACGCCTTGTAAATGCTGTCTGTCCAAAGTAATTTAAGAGAGAATCTTTTAGTTCAGGACATTGTATAGTTTTCTTGAGGTCTGAATACATTCTGCTTAATGGTAGAATTAAATGACATTTGTTGCTGTAGTTGCACTGAATGCATCCATGTAGAAAGCTTTTGTTCAAAACCTGTTTCCAAGCAGTTTTAGTGCTTGAACAATCTCTCCTACTTTCCCCTATTTTCCTGCTTTTTGGAAAAGATTAACAGGAATTCCACAGTAAAGTTCAAGGTTCTGTTAAATTGCCAAAGGGGAAAAAAAAATCAAGGTTTCTTTCTTCTCCCCCTGCCCCCCTTAATTGCATTTGTGTGCTAACAAATTCATGAAATACACTGACCCTGATCCAGTATCTAATCTGCTGTGCTCAGGAAGCAGTCTCTAATATACATGGGTGTGCATTTCATTGATTTTGATCAGTTGTTGTGTGTGTGTTTTGGTGATGAAAACTGCATCCCCCATCTTACCAAGTGGGTTAAAGAATATGACTTTCCTTGCAAGAGGTACATCTGATTGTGCTTTTTTTGTCATGTCATTATTTAAGAATGTTTCTGAATTTTTGTTAGTAATTTCCCTCCAGTAAGGCAGCATATGTGATGGATTATACAAACTCATTTTGGTTTTGTATGTTTTATATATGTCATAGGTAATGTGGTCTGGCTTGATGAAGTAACAGCAACGCGGGCTCTAATAAATATGAGTTCCTTGCCTGATCAGGAGAAAACAAAAAGCAGAGAAAACAATGAAGAGAAGACAACTGAAAAAACCAAGAAAGGTAGATTGAGATATGCATATATAGACATCATCTAGTTAAATCAATGAAACTTTAAACTTGTGCTTGGGTACTGTATAATCTAAATTACTGAAGGAGCTTCTATCATGTAGTTTCAGGTAAATGTATTCTGCCACTTTAAAAAAGGCTTTCATCTTGGAAACCTTTTGAAGAACCTGCTTCTTAAAAGGTGGGTTGGAGCTAGACCAAAAGCAGTAATCCAGTCGATACTGAACATGTTAGATGCAGGGTCATATTCAGATGTGATATTTATAGTGGTACATGTTGCACAGAAATAATGTCTGTGTGATGTGTGTACAAAGGTAGTAAAATGTATGGTTTCTAAGTGTGGAAAAAGCAGGTGTAAGAAAATGTCCTATTTTTGAAATACCACAGGTGATTCCTTTCTTGATACACAGCCATCCTTTAAGTATTTCGTTCACACTGATGTGACATTGTATCACTTCACCACTGTATATAATCTCTAAATTTCGCTATTATACTTTCAAGAAAGAAGCACACTGAAAGATCAGTTGTAAAAGAGTCAAGCAGCAAAAGTACCTCTTAATGTGATACATCTGGTACCTGAATGTGTAAATTAAAAATCAGGCTTTTGCTACCTTATGACTGTTTGGCTGTTAGGATGGTGTGATAAATTGCTGTGACCACACGGCACAAAGCAAAGAGAGTTGTATTTATCAATGCTTCCGTAGGTTTTGCTTAAACATACTATGAACAAAATGCAGAGTCAATCTCTCTATTAGATATTTGCAGTGCTACCAAAAAGTTTGGGGTTTAGGGCTTTGTCAGACTTGTGGATCCTTCTAACTCATCCCCTTTTCTTTGTTGCTTTTCTCCACAATGCAGTGGCTCCTCAACCATCCATGTGACTTTAATTTTGAGGCAAATATTGATAATGCTTCAAGTAAGACTTGTTACGAAGTTTTTGGAGATTAGTGATTGTCTTGTTTAAATGGAGCATAAATACATCTATTTAATCGTGTTGGCTACAAATTACATATTGCATCACCATTACACCACGTCTCAAAATAAGACCTGTCATCTGAATTACTCCTGTTCATCTGGAAAAGTGGGACATTAGATAAAGTACAAACTGTTCAATTACATGTTAAGGTGTGAGATGCATACAGAGACACTGGAGTAATCTGACTTAGTTGCATTCCTTTTTTAGATAGGAATTTGAGGGATATTTAGGCATTTAGGGAAGCGAGAGACTAGTCTTTACTGAGAGAAGCTTATCATTTGGTGGGAGACAAAGTGCGTGAATGCTGTCTGTAATAAAACTTCATCAGGTTTGATTTTGGCTGATTTGTTTACCTCGATCCTCTCTTTGGTTTCAGTTTGGTTAATTGTTCTTTATTCTTTTCTTTGAACTTGGGTATATTGTCAGGATCTTTTAAAGCTGCTGCTCTCTATTGTAAGTTTTCAAGTCTATTGTTGGATGAGATTAAGATAAGGAATTTTGAAATATAAAAGGTTTTTTAGTCCTATATCTGTGAAGTACTTTAAGATCTTTGCAGATGATATTGGTATATATTGATAGTTGCCCATGTTCACTACTTTTTTTTTGAGGACTGTTTGGGGAAAAAAAAAAATCCAATATGGATTTTTTTACTCTGAGCTAAAAAGAACCCTGAAAAATCTATACAAGTATCTCACAATTTTAGTAGTTCTCGAAGTGTGCACTCTCCTGTTAGTTATTTCACTTCAAAATTAAGTCACTGAAGTGTTTGGGGTTTTGTCTTCTGTCTCAGAAACTTCTAAGCTTTTTTTTGATTTACATTGTTAGTATTGGGTACTTGTGGGTACTTGTAAGTACTTGGCAGCATTTTAAAGGGAGGCTTAAGGAAATGGGCTTTTATATGCCTTTACAGTCTTGGCCTTGCTTATCTCTGTCATACCCTGAAATGCAGTGCAAGTTCATTTGCTTTCAAAGAATTAATCTGTGTGCTGCTGCAGGCAATTATCTGCACAGAGGCTGTCTAGTTAATGTTATTCTGTGCTCATGTGTGCTTCAAATTTCTGTAGACATTTACCGTTTTGATTATTCTCTAGGCTGCACAGAAGAAAGGATAACACCTTCAGTTTGATTTCTGAGAATGTACATACTAATAATCAAATATGACTGTCACACTAAAATGGAGGTTATTTTTGTTTTCCCCAATTATTTTCCTTCTTAGAAAAACAGGAGGAAAGTTCTGATGATGAGACGGAAGAAGGTGAGGTTGAGGATGACAATCCAAGTGACGTTGAGGTCAGTACAGAAAGAAAGTATTAGGGAAATTTTGCTCTGACTGGTGTGAAGTCTTCATAACATTATAGTTTTAACCATCTGTATTTGCAATTCACAGTTAATTATCAAAATTAATTAAATGGGGATATGACAGGAAGTGTAGATTCCATGTTGATGAGAATAGCCATGTCAGAGTGTTTTGTGAGAGTAGATTTTGAGGAGTGCTAGGGCATCGAGCATGTAAGAGCTAGACTGGCTGCTCTTTTCTGCTGAGAGGAGGCAATGAAAGAACAATAATGGAAGACAACAGCCTTTCAGCAGTGAAGGCAGTGCTTAAAGAGACAAATAGGATTTAGGCTGTCCGTAGATATGTGTGGGAATCAGCATATGCATTGATGTTTTGTTAAGTAATTTAATCTTCACTGACTGAATATATAATAGGTGTGATTAGTATTTTCTTTAGGAATGGCTGAGTGAACCTCCATACATCATGGAAGTCTGAATTGGGCATGAGAACCTGTTAGTAAAACCATTTAGATATGAAACAAGCAAAATTGAATAGTTGTTCTTCAGTGTCCTAGTTGTGCTATTTATTTTCTGCATGTCAGTAGTATAGTGTGATTTGAAAATTATTGGATTTAATAATCTGAGATAATGTTATGAAGGAAGAGAAGGAAATACATAAAATTATTGGGGCAAATTACTTCAAAATTCACATTGGTTTGTTATGAAGAGTTTATTTGAACATAATTTGAAAAGAAACTTTCTTAATAATCAGTTAGGATTCTGTGTTAGGAATCCATTTTCATTTAACAGTAATTTTATTTTTGAGTCCAAAATACTTTTTTTTTCCCCCCAAAGTTGGATGCCCTCTCCCAGGTAGAAGAGGATTCTCTCCTGCGTAATGATCTTCGTCCTGCCAATAAACTGGCTAAAGGAAACAAGCTATTCATGAGATTTGCTACTAAAGGTAAATGAACAGCTTAACAAGCATAATGAATTAATCACCTGTAGTTTTATTTGTTGACTAATTAATGACTTGGAAGTACCTAATTGCAGAAATGTTAGGTTTTTGGTAATCAATTAGGTATTAGGATTTTGCAATAAATCCACATTTAACATGTGAATTAAATCCAGTTCAAGTTGTATGAAAATTATTGTACTTTAAAAATTTTACCTTGGTCTCAGAGCATTCTTTTCAGTACCCTAAGATAGGTTTTATGATGCCTTTCTCCACAGAGGTAAATTTCACATTTTATAGATACAAAAATCACTTAAGATGCTGATGAGGTATTAGTGGAAATAATTGCTAAACACAGTTGAGATATTAAATGGTGTTTATGAGTAAAATGAAATTCCATATAATTTCTGGCCATGTGGGAAGTGACACATCTATAAAGAAAAGAAAGGTCATGAATAAGGTAAGTATAGCCTCCAGCAGTTACAGTGGGGTGTAATGCTCTGTTAAGGTGATATGTAGAAACTCAGTCTCCCTAGAATTAAGTTTCTAGACAAAAATAAAACTCTGGTAGTGGGAGAAATTTCAGAGGTGTCATCAAAATTCGATCCTTCATGAAGGAGATTGAAGCAATGCTGATCTGTAAGACATTCAGTCTTACTTTCATTCTCTGTGTCTTTGACTGGATGGTTATTTATTTTTATGCTAGTGTTTGTAAGATATATTATAAGAGGGAAATATTCCTTTAATTTATGTTTTTTCAGATGACAAAAAGGAGCTGGGAGCTGCAAGGCGAAGCCAGTATTACATGAAATATGGCAACCCGAATTACGGAGGCATGAAGGGGATTCTTAGCAATTCATGGTGAGTATTGGATAGAGAAATTGGAGCATTGCAGGTAATTGGACAAGATGGTCTAAAACTGCTTTAATTTGTGGATTTTCTTTCTATTCACGTTATGTAGATATTTCTAATGTGTAAATAATGCTTTTGCAATGTTACTCTGGATTTGTAAGGGGAGTATTTTCCCATGAAAATAAAGAATGTTTATATTCAGAACAGATCTCTGACATGTCTGCTATTAAAATGAGTGATAATTGCATATGCTTAATCCAGGACTGAATATGGGTCATTCGTGATGCCTTTTCTTTTTACGGCATTTCAGGAAACGAAGATACCATTCACGTCGAATCCATCGGGATGTGATAAAGAAAAGGACACTTATTGGGGATGATGTTGGCTTGACTCCTCCTTATAAACATCGTCATTCAGGTAATTGATGCTGATTTGGCATCAGTTGATGGACTCTGTAAGATCACAGCTGGGGCATGGAGGGCTGGAAAGGACCTTAAACAATGCCTCATGTAATGCCCTGTGGAGCGTGAAAGTGAAGTGTACTTTTAAAAAAATCTGTAACTGCATCACATTTTCAGAGTTTGCAAGGAACAATTGAGGCAGAAACTTCATGCTGCTCATTGCCTTACCAAAATAGCTACTACTTTTGAGGTGATGTTTTTCTTTTACAAATTTAGGACATGGGGGCTCTAGCATCAAGGGCAAAAGGAAGAGATAACATCTTTAAACTTCTTGGCAATTTGTTGTACTTGCTATGTCAGTTCTTGTGCTCTGTGAAAAGGCAAGCTCTAGATGTAGAACAGTAAAGATTAAAAAATTCTATTAATTACACTTGAATATCTTCATCTATTCCCTGAGGGAGGGGATGTGCATTAGAAAAATAATTGGTGTAAAAATCTTTGACGTGACACAAATACAGTGTCAAAGTTTCATATGAATGGCCTGTTAAAAATACAGCCATGGATGTATCAAATCTCATGGAAGATTTTTGCATGTTGATAAGGTACTGCTTGCTGAAAAGCTGGTTGCACACTGCTGATGACTAGATTTAAGTTGTTGATTTGTATTTAAATCAGTGTATGTGATAAATGTGTACTAATGATATGTGTGTTCTTTTTGGCATTACTGCTTACAGGACTTGAAAGGATTATTGCAGAGCCAGCAGCTGTCACCTTAAGCCCCACAAGATCATAGGAACTGTTATGCTTAGTTGAGGAAATACAAACTGCATCTACTGCAAGAGGCAGTTGTACTTTATATATACAGTCCAGCTTTATGCTTGAGCAGGCTTCTGCGATAGTGAACAGCATGGACTTTTTTTCTCCTGCGGCAATTTTCTTCCACTTAGGCTATTCTGTAATACGGATTCCATCTGGAATATTTTTTAAAATATTCCCTCTCTCTTTAGCTGTAGAGAACTACAAAGACTCGTTTGTAGTGGATCATTAATTACAGTGTTTTTGGGGGGGTTTGCTTTGGTTTTAAGGTACCTTAAAATGAATTGTAAACTTCAGTTTATCAGAATCAGTTTGTTTTGCTACAGGCTTAGTAAATGTTCCTGAGGAGCCTATTGAGGAGGAAGAGGAGGAAGAAGAAGATCAGGATATGGATGAAGATGACAGAGTTGTGGTAGAGTACCGTGATGAACTGCAAGCTTTCAAACAGTCCCGAGACCGCAGTGCAGCAAGACGATCGAGTGCTAGTGCATCTGATTCTGATGAAATGGACTATGATCTTGAACTGAAAATGATATCAACACCCTCTCCCAAAAAGAGCATGAAAATGACAATGTATGCAGATGAGGTGGAATCACAACTGAAAAATATTAGGTAAAAGCTTCTTATTCTTTAAAAGTATCAGTGAAAAGGCATTCTAAATTTTAGTGACAGAGCTATCAGAGCTTAAAGACAAACTGTTGAAGCTACTTTTTCAATTCTTAACATAATTTTGGAGTAGATATTTTAAAAAGAAATACAGAAAACACTGATATAGGCTTTTAATTACAATGGACATTTTAAAAATGTACTTTCTTCACGGATTTCTGTAATAATGAAGCTCAAAGTGGAATCCACAGAAATGTGTGCAAGCACAGTTAATTTCTTGCATTTCATAGCTAGGCCCCAGAGAAATAACTCCTCCCTTTACCTCTTCCTCTTTTCTCAGAAAGAAGAATAACCCTTAAGTGCTGATGACAAAAATGAAATTACATTCATTATGGGCATATTAACCAAAATTGCATACATTGTAGATTGTTAAAATAACTTCAACATGCATTGTTTCAGTAGTATGATTATACTTCATTATAATGTCAAGTCTTTTAACAATTTTGAGGTTGCTTCTCTGCTCTGAATTTTGACCCAGAGGCACAGCATTAAGGAGACAAACTTTATACCTGCCTTGAAGTGGATACTGAGGTATTCCTGTGATTATTGCTAAAATAAGAATTCTGACTGGAACACGTACTCTTCTAAGTAATGTTTTTACCTTTGTTTCTGAGAAATCCTGATATGACTGTTTTCTGTGATGTAATTTTACATACAAGAATGCTTAAGAACTGTACTAGATTTCATTTCATTTAAGGGACATTAAATCTATTTTCTTTCAGGAATTCCATGCGAGCAGATAGCATAGCAACCAGCAACATCAAAAATCGGATTGGCAATAAAGGATCCTCAGAGAAAGTTGCAGATGTAAGACTACTGTTAGAAGAAAAACGTCAGAATAATACTGGGCCACGTCAGCCAAACAGCACTGTAAAATCAGGTAATTTTAAACTGTTTTATTGTGCAGAATTGCAACTGGCTCATTACAATGGATATATTCATTTCACGTCTGTGCTTCACTGCAAGTAACAAACCTGAGGGAATTCTGTTCAGCAACAGTTTCTGCATCCATACAGTTAATTTTTCCTCACTAAAAGACTGAGTTGGGGATTGCTTTGGGGAAAGATGAAGTACATCTGAGTAAAAGTGATGTGTATTTTTATCCTGTTTACTTGCCTGTTTCTATTTCCCCCACTTTGTCCTTTTTGATTTGCTCAGTCCTTGAGGCAGAGATTCTGTACCACTCTGAGAAACATAGCATGTTGGGGAGCTCATGTGCAAAATTAAATGTGAAATGCTATCTACTTATATGAAACAACATGTATTACATGAATATGGACAGTTTTTCAATTGGCAGGGTTTATTTTTAGGCTTAATTGACTGTTGCTTTTTTGACTTGAGTACATGTAATTTCAGCTATTTGTGACATACATAGTATCCAGAGGATTATCTAACTGATAACTGAAAGATACTCTTTTGTATCAATGTAATGTAGAAGTTAGGTCAGTATATTTTACTCCTCCTGCACATTTTGGGGCTCTGACAACTTGGCACATAAATCCTCTAACTTCCTTTGCCTTTATGTTTTGCTTTGAACCTTCTTTAAGACTATAAAATTCTACTTAAACCAGACAAACTTCAGAATGTAAGACTCTCATCATGGGTTAAGTATCAATACATTCTTGTATTCTGGTTTTCGTTTTATTCTGCAAAATACCAAGCGGTATTAGAATTCTAAAGCAAGGTATCTATAATGTGAAAAGGTTTGTTGAAGGCATAGCAATTTTCATATAATCATACCTCATGCTGGATACATACACCCTGTACTGCTAAAACAGAAGTGCAGCAAACCATGGAATAACATTTTCAATCTTCTGGACAAGGGCACAACCTGAAAGTATTAAATGTCAAATTTATTGCCAAAAAAAAGATAAACGAAATCTAGATAAATTGTATTTTAGATGTTGCCAGCACTGAAATAAGAGTATGAAAGACTTAAATTAAAAAACTACAGAAAAGATAAAACCAGAAAATCTGTCTAGTTTCAAGTTGTGTGAATTGTGAACAAATGTAAAACTAGCTGGTAGAACTAGACTATAAATGCAACATGATTTTTGTAATTTTAATCACTGAAAATATCTCTAGATGTGCGGCAAAGACTGGGAAAAAGACCACATTCTCCAGAAATTAAACCTCCAAGTAGTACCTCTGCTCCTCGTCGAGAACCGATATCAGATGTACACAGCCGGTTAGGAATCCCCAAACAAGATGTAAAAGGTCTCTACTCTGATTCCAGAGAGAAGAAATCAGGTTAGTTTTATAGAGAAAACGTAATACTGCAATTCCTTGACTTTTAGAGTATGGCAGAAATTTCAGCAGAAAATCTTGAAGGATGTTCAACTGAGTGAAGTTAAAGGTGAGTTAGCAAATCTCTCTTCAGAGCTTTGGAACCTAAATACACGTAGGTAGGTTGAGCTGAGTATTTTTATGAGCAGTATTTTTGTACAGATATGCTTAAAAGGAGAGAACTACTTTAAAGCTGTCATCAAAACAAGGCACTAAAACAAGTGTAATGAATGCAGTGGCACTTCAGACCCGTGTGTAGCATTTTCTGCAAATAGGAAACAGTGAACAAGAATGCACCGAGCCTCCCTTATTTTAATTTCGGCTACTGCTTCAAAGTGTAGTAAGTTCCGTGCCAAACAAGGTGGGAGGAGTATGAGGAGTTCGGAGAGATGCAGTGCATTTATGACTAGGTTCCTCAGAATTCCTCTTAGTCCTGTCTTTTTTTAAAAAATGTTTGTTTTCCATCTGATTAGGTAATTTATGGACCAGATTAGGGTCTGCTCCGAAGACACAAGAAAAGACTTCAGATAAACCTGAAAACTCTGTGGCATCTCCAGAGGAAGATGATTCAGAGCTCCAGCGGGTTTGGGGTGCTCTCATTAAGGAAAAAGAACAGTCTCGGCAAAAAAAGAGTCGATTGGATAATTTACCATCTCTACAAATTGAAATCAGCCGAGAAAGCAGTTCTGGATCAGATACTGAATCATGATTGTTTTTACATTCTGATCTTCACCTCAAGATTGTGACTGCAGTGTGGCAAGATTTCCTTTGCCCAAAAGCTGAACACTGGCAAAGACTCTGCAGTGAAGGTTCCAGAAGTGTCTCTGTTCCTTTTATACAAAAACAGAGACACGTATACCACTTGAAACCTAAAGCAATCACGTTTGTCTGGAGTCTGTGGTTGACCCTGTGTTACATAGGGCATTGTCATATATGTTTATTACAGCAAACCTGTAGTTAATTCTAGCAAAACACTTTTCCCCAAGCTTTGAACTTATAAGAAGAGGCAGAAATGCTCTGTATTTTTAAGACGACCTTTTTGTTCTTAATATTTTTAACATGGAGCCTTTTAACAAAATATTTTACACAGTTCATCCAAAGAACAGGGCATTTCAAAATCGACATCATTGCCTTGCCCTTCTGGCTCTTACCAGCACTTTTCCTTTCCTCTTGAAGTAATAACAATAATGCTTCCTGGGTAGGCAGCCAGCAAGGATAAAGCATGAAGGGACTGACATGTTCCCTTCCTCCAAAAATACTGAATGTAAATCTAAGTTAAATGTGTTAGTACAGTGAAATTTCACAGAGTATCCAAGCAGCATCACTGCTCTCAAGGAATTCTGCTCATTTATTTTGGTGATACTACATTCTGCTGTAGTAGGGATTGAGATGTGCAAGACTGCAAAGTTGGCTATTTGAGAATTGTGTAAATTCCCAACGGTTTAATTTTTTTTGTTGTTGTTACCTGATGAGAAATTATATTTCTTTCATTTTACTGTATCATGTTTTGAAGAAATTTAAACATTTTAAAACATACACTTTTATATTTGTGAGAATTCTCTTGTTGGCCACGGTGAAAGCTATAGTGGTGTTTTCCTATGTGCTGTTTAACTATATATATATAACTGAAAGAGAAAAGGAAAACTATAGGATCGCTGTCTCATGTCAATATTTTTGAATGTTCTTATTGTGTATTACATGTGGATGTGCACATGGTTGACTTGTTACATTCAGCTTTTTTTACCCGCAGACCCTCTCTAGGTAGGACAAAGGTTTGATCAGTGTGCAACTGCAGTTTTTTCTTGTTGCCTGTGGCATTTATTTTGATTGCCAATAATTCTAAATAAGGAATAATGCTAGCACATCATATTCTGGTAAACAGAACAGGTAGAAAAAACATTGTCTGCTACATTTTGATAGTCTGAAAATTTGTTTGCATTGTCCCTATTTCCTAGGTTGTCAGTCCGAAATGTCTATGAATATCTCTTCCCCTTTCTGCTTTTCAACAAATGTTTTACCTTTTTTTCCCCTACTTTTGTACTAAGTTGAAGTAGGTTTGAGACTTCACAAAAGCAAGGAATCTGCAATTAACTTTTCTCACTGCTTTATTATGTGTAAGAATAGCAGCATGTAAAATTAAAGGTAAAAAAGAAAGGTACAGTGACTAGAAGGGTAATCCGGGGACTGACTGGGCTTCAAGCCTTATTATTTCCTTGTTTTGTGATACTCATCCTTGATTTTATATTTAATTATTGAATATATAAATATGTCTCATAAAAGTACTGTTGAGAGTAAATGACTGCAATGTCTGATCCCTGTAATAATTCATTTTAACGTGTGCTTTCATGAACATCCCTTTCAAAGCTCTTGAATAGAATCATGCCCATACTGTACCCATTTCTCAAGATCCTGATAAAATTTATTTAACCAGTGTCTTTTTGCTGGTAAACCGTTGTGTTGTATTACAGCTTTGAATCCATTATGACCTTTCCTTTTCCTGAAAGGAGATGGTGGATATGAATCATGCATCTGGTCTATGTAGACAGGCTTCTGCATTGTTGTGAAGCTTTGCATGTTTTTAAGCTCAGCAGCTGGTTGTGGTCTGCTGTTAATGTTGCTGATAACCACTGTGTTTCCATGTAAATATTCACAGCTTGAGCCTGGTGAAGGACAGACTAACTGGTGTGAAGGGCAGAATGGGAATAGAGAATCTCTTCAATTGATATAAAAGATCTGAACTAATGGATATATGAAATCGAGAGAAGCGATGTAGGCAAAGGCTTGTGTTTGAGGAAGAGGAGGCATTAACACTGGTTTTGTCTTCCAGGTGGTCATAAATAAGCCTTAAAAATGCCTCCACGTCAGGCAGGTCTGTCGTGTTTTTGGTTTGGGGGGAGGGTTTTGTGTGTTAATGAGACCATGGTATCTTAGCTGCAAGTAAAATAGAGGTTTACTGTTGAAGGGACATATAGAGAGGGATTTTTGTAATTCAGTGTTGTTTGCCTGGTTTTGCTTTTTGATGATGTACAGAGAAGCCTTGAAAAATGTTTTCTGGTATCAGGAACTCTAGCTTGGGTCGTCTTTAGTTACCTGAACATGAACTGCTGGGTTTTTCTAATTAAAAATGAGCAGTGCATCTTTAGAGAATGCTTTTTCCTCAACATGGTGAACTTAAATCTCTTTGACCTAGAGAGAGAGAGTGCATAGAGAATTTTGTGTAAGTCTCCTCCTCTTTGCGGTCAGCTATTTTGCTCTTGCTAATGTGTTCTTGATCTTTCACTGAACTCCCAGGTATTATCACCTTCAGAGAATTTGATGGAGAAATTAATGTGCTGATACCGAGATGTGTAACCTATATATTTGACTAAAATGAAGTTACGTTGAAAATTGCAAGGAGAAGTTCGGCTTTGGCTTTTACTGGAGGATCTGTGGCTCAGGAAAAAAAGATTCTGAATTTTAGGTGACTTGTTACACGACCACACTGGTCCTTCTTCTAGTAGGTGTTTGCTGTTTTAAAAAGGTGTATTTTTGGTAAATGGTTCAGGCAACTGTTACATTGTGCTAAAGAAACAGTCGAGGGGGCTATGGATTCTGTACCTGCAGCTGTCCTCAGGCACTCACTGAGCTTGTGGCATTGATGGTGAGACTTGAAAGTGAGGGGTTTGGGTTGGGGTTTTTTTAAGATGATAATGTGTTTAAGAGACAGGAAAAATGAAAGCAAAACCCCCTTTATTTTCGGTTCAGGATGACGTTCTAATGTGAAAACAATGAAACTTTTATTTAAACAGCTGTTCCATTCTAAATAAAAGTGGTCTGGAGTCACACTGACCCATCCCGTTTTGCCGGACCGTCCATGGTAAAGGACCGCGCACCCCACCCCCCCCCCGGCAGCCCGGAGC